TATGGCAGGTTTTCAAAAATTGCGAAAGATTTTAATTTTTCAATGTTAGCAAACTCCAAGATCTTAAGTGTCGATACTATCATATTTTTAATTAAATAGAAATTTCAGTGAATGGAATGAAATCTTAACCTCAGACTGATAACGTTAGGTTAGGTTATTTGGTTATGGCAACTTTCTATCTAAGGGGTGGGATACTTCATGGAGGATTTTCTGAGGGAAACTAGCTCTTTTTCAGGCTACATTTGGAGAAACCACAAAAATGCAGGCATGCAGCCAGCCCGTTCGCAGAGGTTCGAATTTTTACCCAACTACGAGTATTAATGGTTTTAACCACGGCTACTGAAGGGGCAAACGCGAGGTCGGAAAGAGTATTTTCTTGTGCTGAGAGGCACTGAATTTCTTTCTTTATTGCTTTTCAGACTCTGTCTAAAAAAGTATATATATAAAATATATAAAACGCCCTTTTTGAATTACATAGTTTTAATCAACTGTACATAACTAAAAGCTGTTTGTATTAGAACGTTTTCAAGAAACAATAAATTGATAGCACAGAAATAATGTATATAAGAATAATTTAACTGCCAGAGAGAGAATTTCAGTTTTCTTGAATTTCTGGCTGAGTATTTTGATTTAAAATCCGCAATTGTTTTGCACCTCTATCAGTTAATATTTAGTTACCCATGATCTATAATGTTATGATATCTAAGAAGAGTCATTTCTTAACTTTTAAATCAGTTAATCAAAACTATGTAGTTTAAAATGTTTTATTTATGTATATTTTTTCTGCGATCTTAAATAATTGGATCATAATCTTAAATAATATTGACAAATTGTATTCCGGATTTGCTCTTGTTTCTTTCGAAATTCCCTTAACTTAAATGCTAAACATAACATTATATTAGATTTGCTTATACATATAATGACATAAAAGTTTTGTTTTGAAACCTTAATAAAAATGATACGGAATAATTCAATAAATATCAGTGAACAGGACTGTAATAATTCAATAAATCTAAACACTGAATGCTTTCTATATTAAGAGAGGCCTCATTTCCAACAAATCATGATTAAGATGAAGTTATGGCATTATATTTGAGTTTCAGTAATCAAACTGATTTTAAATTTACATCTTATGTATTCTCTCATTTTGTCACTGGTTTTCTCATTCAAGAAATTTATAGTGATTTGAGAGGCACGCAGTTTTTGATAAGTTCAGATTTTGGTTAGCTGTTAAGAGCCGTTGACATTGGGGTTTATCTGAACTAACGGAGACTACTGGCATAGACGACGCAGCTCCAAAACCAGTTTTTTCACGTAGCGGAGTGAATTGAAAAATCTGAACTATGTAAAGTGGAGCTAGTCGGCACATCGAATTGATTCCGTTAGCTCAGATAAAATCCACAGTGAATGTTCCTTTAGCAGTCGCCAAGGAACTTATAGCCTTTATTAGAAATTAGTTAGATATTGTATTTGCCAGAAGTCCATGTCCACAGGTCCGGGGCGACTAATAAATTGGTGTTGTAATATTTTTAATTTAACCCTCACAAATGGTGAAGTAGAATAAGTTAAAAGTAATATCTGTATCTGTGTACATGTAAGAATTTGGTTAATTTATTGGTGAAAATTCACTGAAAATCTTTTGATAACACCTAGATAAGTGGTATTTAGTTAAAATCAATTTAAGCCTCAGGTGTTACACGATCACCAAAAAAAGCTAAGCTTTAAAAATAAGTACTTAAATAAGCTTAATAACCATCAAAATGCATAATAAACACTCATTTAGCCTCAAATAAAAGTATTAGTCCTAATTCAAAATAAGATTCTGTAGGTATAATTAATTCATCATGAAAAGCTTTACGTCGAAAACCCTTGTCGTCTTTTCTTTGTTAGTTAGTAAATCAAAACAACTAACTTCTGATAGGTTTTCTGTCACATTCCTTCATTTGATAGTGCTTCTAATTTGACAAAATTTTTAATGGCAGATTAAGGACATCTGATGGATTTGCTCACTTAGAGCAAACGATAGGTTTCGGGTGTGTAAGTGCTTTAACATACAGCAAAAGGTATTTTGGTGCAATCTAAGTAGATAGAATATGGGGGTTTGGAGCCATATGGCGCTGTGGCGCTCACAGACGACGGACGGGGGGAGAGGAAATTTACGGAGGAGCCCGTGTGGGTTGATACGTCATCAACCACGCGGCTTAACCCCGGACGTGCTGCATCCTGTTTGTGACGTCATCACGCATTATCACTTCGTATTATCTTGCTATTCTTACGTCAGACACATGTCTCATCCTTTTTGTGTAGTAATCCGGTTTCATGTACACGTTTATCGATTGACATAGAACTCCCCGCTGCTTTGATGTCATACTAAATCCGCAACCTGATTGTAGCATGTTAGAATTTCTAGCGCATTCTTTTTAGTTCAGCAACGACCGCTAGAGGGCAGTAGTCGTATCCATAGCGCTTTCTGATTGGTTCTCATGGATCCTGACCAAGGCCTATATAGAGAGACGCTGGACCCTATCATATCATTTCCGCCTGTGTTGCATGTTTTGTTCCTGCTTTCGCTCTTCCTGTTTGAATCAAGACGTGTTATTCGAGGTAAGTGTTTTACCATAGATTATGTTTGCATTCATATACTCGATGTTAATATTTATTTTTATTAGATATTATACATAGTTTTTATAATGTCTACTTTATTTTTCTTACAGACTTTTCCCTGTGATTATTTTAGTTGAACCCATTTTGTTTTAATATAAGTCATTCATTTTCGATACCTCTTTTATATTCATTTTATTCTGCGCTTTTCCCTATTATTTATAGATTACATTTATTGAAATATGATACCTAATGTAAATTTTCTTTGTTGAATATTTTTTAACTTAACGGTACTCTTAGGTTTTCACGCGAAATATTATTGCATTCTTTAAATTATCTTTAGTATGCTTTCTTTTTCCTAACGTAAATCTTCTTAGTTAAATTAACATTATTTCGTGTTTCCATGTAAATATTATCGCATTTATTAAACTGATGATTTGCCCTTTGCATTCTTTCTATTTAACGCTACAATATATTTTTAAATGAGTTTGTTTTTATTTTACTATTATAAGTAAGTTTATTTTAATATTTTAACTTTTTTAGTCCTATTTATTTCATAAACAATTGAATTCTTTCTCTACTTTTTTTTTCCCAGATGGAGCATACATCTGAAGCTATGTTTTTAAATCATGAGGTTGCTCAACCACACGGCAGCGTAAGTATCTTTCTTTTTTTAAATATGATATGTTTGAGAAATTTTGAGTTATAATACTTATTTTTGTCCTCTTATATTTTTAGATGGATCCTGAATATGTTTTTGAACATGAAGACGTGCCTTTGGATGATCAAACGATTGCTATAATGGATTTTGGTGATCTTACATCATCACAGTTGGATTCGCCTTTCGCTGATACCCCAAATTTAACTTGCTCGGAGTGTAATAAAACTTTTGCACACCAGAGAAGCTTGACAAGACATATTGAAGTGCAGCATTCAATATCAAGACACATTTGCGCCATATGCAAAAAGGAGTTTTCCCGAAAGGATAGTTTAATGAGGCATATGAAAACGCATTCAGAACCCCAGACATCCATGCCATCTCGCTCAGTGAAACGAGCAGCTTCCCCCGCCACCCTGCCTGCCCCTAAACGACCACGGCAAGAACGCCCACCCTGCCTTGGTACGTTTGCTACAGAAATCATTTATCCCAGTGAAGACACCAAAACAGATTTGCAAGTATTTTTAGAGTCTTCAAAAACTGATATCGCTAGCAAGATTCGAGAAGCTGCCACACAGCATCAAGGTATCAAATGGTACTTGAATGCTTCTGTGAAGATGGTCAGAAAAGTGTCAGAGACCGAGGAGGAGGAGACATGCATCCCCTTACTTTCGATCCAGATGCTGTACTACGCTCACGGGAGAAAGAATGCCCGATATGCAAGCAGCTTTTGAAAAGGTAAGAAAGTTAATTTTATGTGAATTTTAATTTATTTTAAAATGTGTGTAAAATTAGTAATACTCATGAAATGTTTTACAGGCGCTGGATTCCTTGGACAAATTTCTGAAAAAAGGTTCAGGATGGGTTTTAGACTCCGTCCAATATCTGGAGCTCAAGATCGCTGTCTACAAACCCCTGGCGGCCTCTTCCTACATACCCCTACCGAAAGCCTTAGCCAGTAAAATGGCAGTTCTCAATATCCAGAATGAGGACCACAAATGTCTCGTCTGGAGTGTGTTAGCAGCTCTTCACCCCATCAAAGATCATCGAGAACATGCATATCGAGTATCTCACTATAAGCCCTATGAAAACGAAATCAATGCGGACGGGTTGTCTTTTCCCACCCCCATTCACCAGCTGGACAAGTTCGAGAAAATGAACAACCTGTCGATAAACGTGTTCGGTTGGGAAAACAATGAGATTTTACCTCTTCGGATCACCAGGAGTCGAAACGGTAATTTATCTCTATTTTGTAAACTTTAATAGACATGCTTTAAGTTTGAAAATTATTTTATGAAATGGTATTTTTCTCTTTTGTAGGTGATCGTCATATCAATCTGTTGCTCATTTCTGATGAGGAAAAGAGACATTATTGTCTTATCAAGAACATATCTCGTCTTCTTGCCGGACTCACCAAACATAAGTGTGGAACATTTTATTGTGACTATTGCCTTCACCGATTCACAAAGAAGGAGACTCTCGACGGGCATGTAGAAGACTGTCGAGTGCATGGAGCACAAAAAATTAAAATGCCGGAAAATAAATGGTTAAAATTCGACAAGCACCAGTTTCAACTACCCATTCCATATATAGTTTATGCCGACTTCGAATCCATTTTAGTAAAGCAAGCTACCTGCCTACCGGATCCTTCGAAGTCATCAACCACCTCTGTAGCCAACCATCTTCCTTGTGGATACAGTTACGTGATCGTGGGACCCGACGGTTCATTTTATCGGGAACCTCAAGTATATAGAGGGAAAGACGCTGTCAACCACTTTCTAGCATCTTTATTGGAAGAAGAAAGGGGCATCTTTGAAATTTTGAAAACTGTAGAGCCCATGATTTTCACCCAAGAAAATCAATGGGCCTACGAATCTGCCTCTGAATGTCATATCTGTGAGAAGCCATTGAATGGAGATAAGGTAAGTATTATTCGAATATTATAACTTCATTCAGTAATATGCATTATAATAATGTGTTTTTAAAACAAATTTTTCATTTTTTAGGTGCGGGACCATTGCCATCTTTCAGGAGTCTACAGAGGAGCAGCTCATAATGGATGCAACATCAATTTCAAATTTGCAAATTTTCTACCCGTGGTCTTTCATAATCTGAAGGGATATGATTCTCACCTCCTGATGCAAGCGGTGGGAAAATTCAAGGACGAAGAGATTAAGTGTATTCCGCAGAATTCAGAAAAATTCATCTCTGTTTCTTTGGGTCGTCTACGCTTCATCGATTCTCTACAATTTCTGAATGCTTCTTTAGAAAAGCTCGCGGCTAATTTGGAACCCCAACAATTTCAACTCACAAGAACCTATTTTCGGGAAAAAACAGATCTGATGCTTCGAAAAGGTAATCAGAATTTCTATAACTTTTTATATATGATAATGTATTATGACTTTTTTATACAGGTTTTTTTTTAATCTCGATATTTTTTTAAAAAAATTTTTTCCAGGTGTCTACCCTTATGAGTACTTAGATTCGTTTGAGCGATTTGATGAGCCGCACCTTCCACCTCTCTCTGCCTTCTACAGCCATTTAACAGAGAGTGATATCAACGATGAGGATTACCAACATGCGAACAGAGTCTGGGAAGATTTCGGATTACGTCATCTAGGAGACTACCACGACCTCTATGTAAAAAGTGATGTTTTGCTTCTGGCGGATATTTTTCAAAACTTCAGACGACTATGTCTTGATTTTTACAAACTGGATCCGGCACATGTTTACACAGCACCTGGTCTGGCCTGGCAAGCTGCTCTACGCATGACCGACGTCCAACTGGAGTTACTCACCGATCCTGATATGTATCTCTTTATAGAAAAGGGCATTCGAGGTGGCATCGCTATGATTTCACATCGCTTCAGCCAAGCCAATAATAAATATATGGAAAATTATGACCCAACGAAGCCATCATCTTATATTATGTATTTGGATGCCAATAACCTTTACGGGTAAGTATCCTTTCCAAATGTTTAGATATAATATTTTCTCTATTATTTACTTGTGATATTCATTATTTTTATTCTATCTTTTTAGATGGGCCATGAGTCCAAGCTTTACCAACCCATGACTTCAAGGTGGCATGACGGACCTCTTAACTTCATGGAGATGGCTGACGATGCGGAAGAAGGATGTATGTATCCTTGAAGTTGATCTGGAGTATCCAAGGGAACTTCACGATGATCATTCGGACTATCCTCTTGCTCCCGAACAAGTAGTCGTGACTCCTGATATGTGGTCACCTTACACGCGAGACCTGGCAACTAAATTCCAAATCCCACCGAGCAGTTCTATCAAATTGGTGCCAAATCTGCAACCTAAGCATCGGTACGTGATACATTACCGAAATCTGAAGCAATATGTTTCACTGGGGCTTCACGTGACCAAGATCCATCGAGTGCTAAAGTTCAAACAATCTCCTTGGCTTGCAACATACGAATACATTGAATTCAACACTAGGCAACGTAAACTGGCTAAATCTTCATTCGAAAAAGATTTGTTTAAACTCTTAAACAATTCAGTTTTCGGAAAGACGATGGAAAATCTCAGAAAACGTACCTGCATTGATCTGGTTCATCGAGAGAAAACAAGCCAAGAAGTTAGAAGTTAGTCGCTGCTCCAACATTTCATTCCTTCAAGATCATCACCGACGATCTGGCAGCCATTGAGCGACGGAAAACCAGCTTGGTTCTGAATCGTCCTATCTATGTAGGCTTCAGCATCTTGGATTTATCAAAAACGTTGATGTATCAATTTCATTATGGATATATCAAGAAAACATATGCATCAAAGGCCCGTTTATTATTCACAGACACCGACAGTCTGTGTTACGAAATAGAAACTGATGATATTTTTCAAGACATGAGCAACAATCTGAACTTATTCGATACCTCAGATTACCCAGAAAAATCATCCCCTCTACAGCCTTACCAATAAAAAGACGATTGGTAAAATGAAAGATGAACTATCTGGACAAATTGCCCAAGAATTTGTTGGACTCAAGCCAAAAATGTACAGCCTACTGAGTAACTCTACTGAGAAAAAAACTGCTAAGGGCGTATCGAAAACCATCCTTAAAAGACAGATTCGTCATGGGGACTACGTTAACTGTCTTTTACAACAACAACGCGGCCTTGCGCATGTGCAACGTATTGCTAGCCACAGTCATCAGATAAAGACTGTGGCTTACACGAAAGCTACTTTGTGTCCTTTCGATACAAAACGGTACATTTGGACGATGGGATATCGTCCTATGCATACGGACATTATGCCATATAATTTTAGTTTGAATAATTTTGTCTCAAAATTCTCTGTACATTGAATCAAAATTCTAAAAGTATTTTATTGTGGAAATTTATGATGTAAATAAGTGTAATGATGTGTCTTCAAACTTTAATAAATGTTTATTTAAATATATTATTTCTTGTTTTGTACTTTTAAAAACCAAGTCTTCAGTAAAGAGAGGGTTCTCTGAATCTTTTTAAAAAAATGCTTAACACGTTAGAATATTTTAATCAAGTTACAATAATTAATCTGGCAAGTTAGAAAAATTAATTTTAGTTTTATCAAAAAATGGAAAGTTAGAAAAATTAAAAATTTGGTGGAACAGCTATAAATAGAATTGTTTTTCGAATAAGAATTTAGTTAAGATGGAATTGTTGAAATTAAAGCATCCTTTCACGATGTTAGCTGCTGGTCCTAGTGGCAGCGGAAAAACCATGTTTATTAAAAAATTAATGGACCACCAAATGATCACTCCTTTTCCTCCTAAAATTATTTGGTGCTATGGTGCTTATCAAAGTCTTTACGATGAGATGAATCATATTGAATTTTTTGATGGTTTGCCTGAAAACATCCACACTTTATCAAATTCTGTGATTATTATTGATGATCTTATGTCGGAACTCGGAAATGATATAAGATTGACTAAGTTATTTACCAAAGGATCTCATCATCGAAATCTTAGTGTTATTTTCATTGTACAAAATTTGTTTCATAAAGGTATTCGGAAAAATGTCTTTGAATGCTAATTATTTAGTGCTCTTTAAAAATACAAGAGACAAGTCTCAAATTATGCATCTGGGAAGGCAGTTATATCCAGGAAAGAACAAGTTTTTTCAAGAAGTGTATCAGGATGCTACATCTAAACCTTACAGTTATTTACTGGTTGATCTCAAACCTGAAACATCTGACTCCATGCGTCTGAGAACGGGGCTTTTTCCAAACGATAAATACTACGTCTATCAACCTCGCTAGTCATTTGCTGGTGAGCTGTCAACGAGTGAAGATGTCTGTGGTGATCGACTTTGAAGGCTTCCAACATTCTTCAGGACAGTTTGTTATTAAAGAACTTGCAGCTTTTGCCGGTAGGGGACCCAACGTATCGTGGCAGATGGACTTTTCAACCCCCATGTTCCTTTGAAGATTTCAGCAAGAAAACACAACTCACGTTTTCGTGGGTATCTCGGAATATACATAATATGGACTGGACGTATGGAGAAATGTCATATACAAATTTAAATTTAGTCCTTCAGATGCTGTTTCGTTCATTTAAAAAAAATATATGTCAAAGGTCTGGAAAAAAAGAAATTTTTCAAAACCATACCAGAAAAGAAGTGATTAATTTGGATGATGTAAACTGTCCCCGTTTTTGTGACTTACCTCCAGGAGAAATAGTCTGCCCTTATTTGCATGTGAAGAACTTTTCACACTGTGCTGTTCAAAAAGCCGCCGCTTATGCACGCTTCGTAGAGACTCTATAAAAGCCAAAAACTTTTATTCTTTCCTGTCATTCGTGTATAAAATGTCGAACTGTTCGCAGCACCAATTAGAGCAACTGAAACTCATCTCGAAAAGTAAATTTTCAAGTGATTTGCTTCGCAAGTGCCCCAATAGTGTCATAAAAACTGTGTGTGAGTGTGCCTTAAACTTGCTTCGAGGTCATCTTGCCGTTTTCCCCAAGCGAAAGGCTCAATTAGCGCCTTATAAACGAAGTTTACGAAAACTCGCCAATAAAAAAGTACCTCTTTATAAGAAAAGAAGACTGCTTGTACAAAAAGGGGAAGGTTTTCTAAGTGTTCTCTTACCTGCGGCTATTTCTGTCATTAGTTCTCTTATTCATGGAGTTCAGTAAAAAAACTTCTCATCGTACCAGAAGAAAGACGACAAACGGTGGAACAACATCTTACCGAACTGGATGAGAAAATGGATCGAATTTTAAAGAAAAAAGACCTTGATGAAAGTGAAAAAGCAGCTTTGTATCTACAAGTACTCCAGAAATATATTACCTATCAATTACCACCCCCCGTTGAAAAAACAGAGAAACCTATGGAAAAGAAAGAAGAAGAAAACTTTGGTGAAGAAAGAAAGAAGAATTCCTACGGAAGATCCATTTGAGAAAAAATGTTGTGAATGTGGCTCCTTTAAAATACAAGTCTCAAGCAAAAGACATTTATCATCATGTGAAAGAAACATATTTCAGATGGAGGTGAACTCATTTATCGGGATCAAGTCGTTCCAGGGACTCATGTTGTGACACTCATCAATCATTTTTTAAGAAATAAGAAAAAACCAGTTGTTGGACAAAATGAATTTTATGCTGTGTTAAAAGAATTAGGTTTACCTACTATGTATGATGTTCATATAACAAATTAAATGTCATGTATGCTCGAAGAAATGTATGGATTAGATATTAAATAAAACAATGTTAACTTGATATATGTGTCTTTATTGTGTTCTTAGGAATAAGATACTTTTCCGAAATTAAAAATAATTATGAAAAAATAAAAAAATAAAAAATAAAAAGATTTTTTCTAAGAGAAAACTTTTTTTAGTTTTTTATTTTTTTTTTATAAGTCGAAAAAAAATTCATTTAGATTTTTTAGGTCGAAAAAATTTTCACTTTAATTTTTTAGGGAGAAGGAGAAAAATCTCACACTTTTATTTTTCTATGGGAAAACTCATGTTAATTTCAAAATGTAAGGGGAAAAAAAGTTTACACTTTGATTTTGAAAAGTCGAAAAAAATTCATTTAGATATTTTTAGGTCGAAAAAAAATTTCACTTTAATTTTTTTAGGGAGAAAAAATCTCAACTTTTATTTTTTCTATGGGAAAACTCATGTTAATTTCAAAAATGTAAGGGGAAAAAAATTTACACTTTGATTTTGAAAAGTCGAAAAAATTCATTTAGATTTTTTTAGGTCGAAAAAAAAAATTTCACTTTAATTTTTTTAGGTCGAAAAGTGATATTTGTGTTTTTCTTCATATGAAAAGGTTTCATTATTTTTAAAACTCAATATGCTTTTATATAAGTTGAAAAAATTTATTCAGTCAGAAAAATAAAACACAGAAGAAAAAATACATTTCAAATATTTTATTGTTTAAAAATCATTCTTACACCATAAGTTTTTTTCACAAATTGATACAGGTTAAAATCACTCATTTTACATAAATTTTCAATAATGGCGTACATACATAGATTGGCCTTGGCTTCGTTTCAGTACATAATAAATACAGTATGCTCCACATACATTAGAAGTTACACTCTGTAATGGAATATTATTCCATTTTACATTTGAACAGTGAAATCCATAAACATCTGGAGATTGTCCATAAGAATCAAAAAATTCTAATTCTTCATCTTGAAAAAAGGCTACCCAATGCGCTCCGGGTTCTGTGGACTTGTCTGTATTCACAACGATGGCTGATCTTCTAATTAAGGGAGGTATTTTATCTGCTGGATAAACTCCTCGAAAGACAGCTGCTGCTTCACGAGATAAAATGTCTTGTATAATACGACCATCCATCAGTTAAAGTCAAAAATGATGTTCCTCGATTTATTAATTTCAATCACGTTATCAAATTCTGCAAAGATAATCACACACACGGTTTGCTCGAGAGGTTGGCTGAACTTTAACTCAATCCGTAGATTAGAATGCTTAATGAGATTCATATGCTCTCCATCACAAAGGTCTGGTGATAATTCGAAACCAAATAACACATTACCTTGTAAGTAGTCTTCTCTCGAGATAAAAATGCCTTTATCTTGCTGGGATTTATTGAAAAACAGGCTATGATAAGCTCGAATATAATTGTTGTTATCAAAATTTGGTTCCAGTGGATTGTAAGGCACAGGCTGTCCGTCGACGTACACTCCAATGAAATTCAGGTGAATAATGTTTAAACTCAAATGGTGACTTGGCAAAATTTCCGTGAAAAGCGTCATTATCAACACATCCAATTACAATTCTTTGAGGCATCTGACCAACAAAAACATTGTCTTGTATCAAGGACATGCTATTTTGGGGAATGGAATAGACTTTACATAATACTCTATTAATAGGATACTTGGCATTACTCTTCTCTAACGCTTTGGCATGACCTAGGATAACTCCAGGGCTCACACGCACTTTTCTCACGAAAAGAGATACATGTTCTAAAACCACTTTATGACCTGCTTTTCCTTGCAAACAAAACTCCGGCTTGCTTCTTATGAGAGTTAATTTAACATCCACCATATTTAATAAAAGCCTTTCTTGATGAAATAAATCAAAATGAATGCCACCAATCATATCAACAGTAGAACTCAGTTTGAAAAAGGAAGATCGCTTCTCTAGATCTTTGTCATACATTTCAGCTGTTAATTTTGAAGTTTTACTATCATAGCCGTGATTGAGCAAAGTTTCAATATAAGCTCTATAGGGGTATGTGTTACTAGAAGAAGACACCAGTCGTTCGTTTAATGTGACATCCACCTGAGAAAATAAAGAATGCAGGAACAAATTTACTGGGCCGATTGTAGCATCTTTATCCAGAGGTGAACCATCCGTTTTTATTATTTTTGCTCTCACGTAGAGTTGTGTTTGTGACAAGTCAATATAATCTTCTCCACTGCCTGAAATATGAAATTCTACGGGACCTCCATCAAATACATTAGATAGAGGATGAAACTGAACCCATTGGCCGCTCTGAATCGCCGTTTGAGTTCCAGGTAAATGAAAAAGTTCTAATTCGGATTTAACACATTCAGGGGAATCTTTCATGATAAAAGCCATTATGAATCGAAAATATCACGTCTTCTCTGCTTCACAGCTTTCGGCGAAATGAAGTGTTTTGTTTTGACTGTTTTCGCTTCCTTTTATACTTGCCACTACCAACCATGGTCTGGGCTTTACGAATAGCTTTTGCCGCTAATACTTTTCCCGCCTCTTTGGCTCTTTGTTTAGCAGCAGACTTAATGTTTTCACCTGCCAACACATCATTTGCGATGAGAGCTCCGGTGCGCAAAGCTTCTTTTCCCACCGTTTTGGCTCCTTTCACAAACAAAGGCATAGCAGAGCGAAATAGACTGCGAAAAAATCCCCCGAGACCATAGCCCTTTTGATAGGGTTGACCTTGGTAATAAGAAAGTCCCGAGCCGGTTTGATAATGATTTTCATAATTTTGAGTACAACATTCGTATGGTACGAGCATCTTGATGTCTTTTTTACAAATAAAACTTTTCCTCTTCTGTTGTCATATTTATAGGATTTGTCGCCTTCGGAAATGAAGCACAAGAATTAACTTACCCCTATCAAAAGGAACGAATGTACCCGAATTGAGTCGGATTTCCACTTCGATTGTATTAAATGAATTTCTTGCTACTGGTACATAATGCGGTCTGTCGTATTGTACATTTACGGTATCACCATCTTTTCCGGTAACTGTCACGACTCTTAAGAGGGAGCTTGCACATTACCAACAATCTGAGGCGAAACGATATCACTATACACATAAAGTAATGTATAAGCAGAATGCAAATCACCCACATATGGACTATTCCAAGTACCTTCGACAATCTGCGGTTCGAAGCCTAATAAACTTGCCAATCCCGAATCATAAAAGATTAACCGAGCTCCATTTTGCGTCACAATTTTCACTCTTTTTGTTGAACGATCATACTGTAAAGAGATTTTATCTTTAAATGATGCTAAAGTCATGGCTTTTAAGAGATCTGGGACACTTTCGTAACATCCTGGTGGTATTTTTCTATTGGCAACTTCCCTTACACCTGAAGAGTCACCCAAATCAAAGATTGTTATCTTGTTAATATTGTACCAGGTGCGGGTAAATCCCATTGTTATATGGGTACAATTGAGTAATGAAAGAGAGATAGTATTTCCTGGAAATAACGTTGAGAGCTATCACTAGGTAACGTGCTTGGCAAATGACGATTTTTTATACGATGTGGATTTTTTATATTCTTTTCACATCGGTCACCCATATTTTTGGTGGATAACCTACGAATTTCACATAGTATTCCGTCACAATTTCTCTTTCTTTCTCGCAACACTTTTTCAACAGGATAATATCCCGAATCGAAATTTTTTGCAGTTCCTTTTCGTAAAGGTTCCTTCAATGACTTCTCCAGAGGTCTTTAAGTCGATAAACAGGTGGATTTCTAGGAAGGATTTCATGGATCTAAATTTTTCTCTCGTCCAGTTACTTTCATAGCCTTTTTCAAAAATCATTTTTAATTTGCTAACGCGCACTGTATCTCCCACTTTGAACTTAGGTTGAGGTTTATGTAGGTCTTTATATAATTGATATTTGTTTTTGACATTCGCTGGTTCATTTTGAATGCCAGGTATTATAACTGTGAATTAATTTATCTATTACGTTGATATTATTCATTTCACTGAGACTTCCAATTTTCTGATTTGTTTCTTTGAGAAATATAGATGATCGACTATATTGTTATCTTTGTTAATATTGTACCAGGTATGCGGATAAATGATCTCAGAAAGACAACATCCCATTTGCCGTTCAAAGATATGGGTACAGGCAATTGAGTAATGAAATGAAGATAGTATTCTCTGGAAAATAACGTTGAGAGCTATCACTAGGTACGTCATATAGAAAGACATCTTGGCAAATGACGATTCTTTATACGATGTGGAGTTTTATATTCTTTTCACATCGGTCACCCATGCATTAAATTTTGGTGGATAACCTACGAATTTCACATAGTATTCCGTCACACCGTTTCTCTTTCTTTCTCGCAACACTTTTTCAACAGGATAATATCCCGAATCTGAAATTGAAATTTTTTTTGCAGTTCCTTTTCGTAGAAAGGTTCCTTCAATGACTTCTCCAGCGAGGTCTTTAAGTCGATAAACAGGTGGATTTCTAGGAAGGATTTCATGGATCGTAAATATTTCTCTCGTCCAGTTACTTTCATAGCCTTTTTCAAAAATCATTTTTAATTTGCTAACGCGCACTGTATTTTGTATCTCCCACTTTGAACTTAGGTTGAGGTTTAGGTAGGTCTTTATATAATTGATTCCACACTTGTTTCTCATTGTGTTTATTGACATTCGCTGGTTCAGTTTGAATAGAGCGATGCCAGGTATGATTATAACTGTGAATTAATTTATCTATTACGTCAATATAACGATATGTATTCATTTCACTGAAGTACTTCCACATTTTGCTTTTGAGGGTTCTGTGGAATCGTTCGATGATGCTTGCCTTTACTGTACTGTTCTCAGTTGTGAAAAAAAGAACTTTTCTTTTTTAAGATAAGTTTGAACGATTTTATTCTTATACTCTTTACCTTTGTCAGTCTGTAACACATGTGGTTTTCTCTCGCTAAAAATATGTTCAAGAGCTGATTTGACACTCTGACCTGTTTTATCTTTGAGTGGAATAGCCCAAGCATATTTGGAAAACACATCAATACACGTTAGCAAATATTTATATCCATCGTTGTGTTTGGCAAGAGACTGCATATCTGCCAAATCAGATTGAAACTGAGCGTCGATGCCTCTGACGAGGACGCGATTGCGACGAAAATGTCGCTGGGTAGGCTTGTGCAAAGTATATGACTCTTTGCTGGTAAGCCAATTCTTGATCGTTTTGTGACTTTCTTTGCCTTTTAAAGCACGATGCAAAGCACTCACTCCACCAAAACTGGCGGGAAGGGCTGGATCGCGATACATCTGAGTCAGATTCATGGTATGTACAGCAGTGATTTTTACTAATAGAAATGTGAACGCTCATTTATAGTTTTCTCTAAAACATACAACCTCTTATTTCTACATCAATCCTTCTTATGAACGGAAAGCAAATGTGTATGAGTATTTATAGTGTTCCCTTAATTTTATATATATTTATTTTTAACTTAATTATGAGACAGTAAAGAGACCATTATAAACAAATAATTTTATTTACTTTTTAAACATTCATAATATTCAATACCATAAGCACCATATTTTTCCAAATTGGTAGGACAAAATGTTTCTTTCACTTCATCAAGTACATGTTTGAGACAAACAGATTTTAAAAAGTCTTTTGTGATATAATGTGCTGGTTTAATCAGAAGTAAATAAGGCTCTTCAGTCCATACATTTCCATAAAATTGCCTGGCTATGTCGATATGTCGATAGAGTTTAATTTCAGAGCCAAGGAGTTGATAGTTTCTGTTTTATGAAATAGCGAGCTCTTCACAGTCTATAAGTTTAGGATACTTCAAATCTCCGTGTTCTTGGATCAGCTGTTCTAGTGATGTCTTTAGAATGGTTTGGAAGGCATGCTGTTCCCAAAGAAATGTCGAAGGATTCTGGAAGCTTTTCCTCGTTAATAGGTTCCTCGGATACACTTTCGTAGGCTTCACAAAAGTCCATACATTGATATACGAGGTTAGTGACGATGGTACTGATGCGACTGTAATTTGTGGACAATTCTTCCCACTGGGCGATTGTAAGTCTAATATTGCTTTTCTCCACTCCTTTTACTGTAAATTGCTTTAACGTGATGTGGTAACCATTATATTCCGCACTAAAATTCTTGGGTAGGTGCAGATTCATTGTGAACACCTCTTGTGGGCTGTGTTGAGAGAAGGTGTCCAAACACGAAGGCTCTAAATTCACACCGTTACGAGTCGGATAATATGAACTCCCGTACTTGCTGTATTGCCTGATGTGCACTTTGATCTTTCCGTTGAAAAGGGTAGGTCCCACAAAGACATTGTTGCCAATATGTGTCAGCTCCTCTGGGATTGTGCCTTCAGTAAAGCGTCCGTTGCGCTAAAAGAGAAAAAATAATGATGAGTCGTTTGATAAAAGAATAATAAGTCTGCGTTATAGCAAGAATAAACTCTTTTCGTAATACTTACTTTCTTCTTATATGTATTTTCTTCGTCTATTTTTCGTTTGCCATTAGCGTTCTGCGAGATGGGTGTTTCTTTGGGCTTTTCATGGTATTGTTCAGAATCTGAAATCTTCGGCACATCCATGTTGAGAGGCTCGTTCTCAAACTGTTGTTCCAAATCCATCTAAAAAATATAAAGTCAAACTATAAAGGCAGTGCAACAAATGCAGATTTTCGTACTCAAATTAAATAGTAACATCAAATATACGAACACGAAAAAGATATATGATTAAAAATAATACGTACCTCGAATAACACGTCTTGATTCAAACAGGAAGAGCGAAAGCAGGAACGAAACATGCAACACAGGCGGAAAGAAATGATATGATAGGGTCCAGCGTCTCTCTATATAAGCCTTGGTCAGGATCCAGGAGAACCAATCAGAAAGCGCTATGGATACGACTACTGCCCTCTAGCGGTCGTTGCTGAACTAAAAAGAATGCGCTAGAAATTCTAACAAGTTGCAATCAGACCGCGGATTTAGTATGACATCAAAGCAGCGGGAAGTTCTATGTCAATCGATAAACGTGTACATGAAACCGGATTACTACAAAAAGGATGAAACATGTGTCTGACGTAAGAATAGCAAGATAATACGAAGTGATAATGCGTGATGACGTCACAAACAGGATGCAGCACGTCCGGGGTTAAGCCGCGTGGTTGATGACGTATCAACCCACACGGGCTCCTCCGTAAATTTCCTCTCCCCCCGTCCGTCGTCTGTGAGCACCACAGCGCCACATGGCTCCAAACCCCCATATTCTATCTACTAATCTAATAAATCCGATTTCTCATTTCTACCTATTCTCAACTACGATTCGTTTCAGTGCTATGATTCACGAACATACGTTACGATTATAGAGCCTCGTAGGTAGTGACTTCGTTATTTATTTATCCTGTCATTTATTTTTAGTTGCATTTTTGTCTATTTTGTTTAACCGCCGGGTCGGAGTAGTTTGTGAGCGTCAAGTGAAGGCAACTGTGATTTCTAAAGGGAAATAAAAAGGGATTTAAACCCTTCTTACGAGTTTGTATAATTTACAGTTCATAGCAGTCACTACTACTGTTGCTGACAAGTCGAGGCCACGCAACATCACAAAATATTTCCATACTATGTTTCAGGCTGCAGTAGCTGGTATGAAAGATGAAAGGGGAAAACAGGTAGTATCCACTACTGAAAAAGGGCAACCATGGCAAAATTTTTTGTCTTAGTTTTCACATTCGATACTACAATCTAAAGCAAAATAGATAATATTTTATCAGGCAGTTACTCAATGAAAATTCAAACCTGAGAGAAAATAATTAGGCAGTTACTGTCACTGAGAACTCCAGCGGAAAGAACCTTTTACAATGTAGAGGAAGAAATGCAGTTTATATCAAGGAAAGTTGGGGTTTGATAGACTAATTATTGACAGTATTATGCTATGTAGAAGAAAAATTCTTTATCATTGTTTCATATCGCTTTCTTTGCTCTTCTTCGATGTATGCTCTTGAATACTTTTCTTTCTTCTCCTAAACACCACTTTTCCCCTTTAGGAGAAAATTTGTGACGTGATGTTACTTGGCATTCGCGACCGCAACCTCCGGAATTTCATTATGCCTTGTTAACAAGGATCCAGAGAAAACGATCGCCAACGGAACCATTAGGGTAATTGCGAGCGGTTGTCTGTCTGTCTGTCATTCCTCCCTTCCCCCTCTCGTCGTCGAACCCTGAGTCTCTTTCAACCTCTTCCCCCCCCGACACCAATTGTGAATCTCATGTCTCGCTCACGTTAGCGCACGCTACTATGTATCGGTTATTCGGAAGTTTTTCGCCAATTTCCTTTGTTTGGCGATGGAAGGGCTGCAAAATTTGGCTGTTTATTACTCGAGTACGAAAGAGCGCATATATTCGGTTACTTTTACTTCAAACTTAATTTCTTTTAAATAATAAGAAACACTGTTGTTTAAAATATTAGTGTCCATAACAATTTTAATTAGGGATGGGACGTTCCAGTCCTCAAATTCCCCGAATCCTGGGAAAGGTTCGGAAACCAGACTCGTTTTGCTTTTTTTCATTATTCGAATCTTTCAAGCACTTGTGTAAAGAAACGTTAAACTTTCTTTAGAGTGATCAGTTAGTCGTTCACGAGGAGTGCTCACTAAAATTGAAGGTGTTTATTGCAATTTCAGTTAAACTGCATCACTAATTTCACCACCCCGCGATTTTGAATCACACATCCCTAATTTTCTGGAGATAATTTAACGTTCCATGTTTAGAGTTTGCTTGTATTAACCCTTAAAATAATTAACCGTCGTCTACCATTGTCTAGATTTAAAAAGAACTGGGGAAAGAAATTTAATTTGAACTATAATTACAATATTTTTGACAAATTATACTGACAAAGTGAAACTCAAGATTCAAGTATTTTAATTACGTATTTACATTAAATTTTATTTGTATCTTCTTAATCCATATAAATATGCTTTTAAAAACTTTATTCTTAAATTCGCTTTTTATAAAACGCAGATCTGGGATTTTTCTTTGATGAAAATCTTTTAATCACAATAATACAAAAATGATTAAATGTAACAAAAACAATAACAAAATAAGTAATAATAAAAATTAGAATAAGAAAAAAGAACATTTTCATTTTCTTCTTACTATTATTCTTCTGCGGAGGATTTAAGAGATTCGAGAAAATTTTAGAATTCGAATTTCTAATCGCGAATATTTAGGATTAGTCCCCCCGCTAATTCTAAACTTGATTCTTTTAAATTTCGGAAAACTTCGTAAAGGAAATTTTAATAAATTTATATTTAATTTTAGAACTGAGTAAAGACTCCAAGCATTTTTGGAGAGACAGAATTGTGAACAATTTGAAGGAGAAAAAAAGCAAATTTATTTCAAATTTTAAATTTATATTTGTTGACGCGTATTGTTATTTACATTCCCAATTAGTCAGGTTTTACTAATTTTATTATTGTAAATTAGATGAATTTTCGAAAACTTGAAAATCCGAGTATTGTTATGGATCGATAAAGGAATGAAAATTAAAAAAATCGAAAAAAGAATTCTATAGATATTTTCTACATTCCCTACACATGTAAAGTTTTATTTATCTAAGTTGTTATTTACATTCACAATGAAGCTTCAAGCCAGGTTTTACAGACTATATTAGTTTAGTTGGGCAATTAAGTTAAAATTTTAAAATGAGACTGTTACTATGGGAAGCTAAAGAATTGAATTTGAACAAAAATTTAAAAAGAAAAAAAAAGAAACATGCAAAAAGAGTAGCCAAAAAATGTAACTGCTAGGTGAAACAGGACTTACGTTAATAATAGTAGTTGTTGTATATTTCTGCTACTACTACTACTACTACTACTGATAATAATAAATAACAAAACGAATAAAAGCCTCAATAAGTGCATAAAATTTCATCTAAAATTTGCGACATGTGAAAAGCTCATAATATTCACACGTGAAGAATTCCCACATTGAGGTCTTGTAATGTGAAAGTTAGGAAACTGTATGATTAAATTATTTCTTCAAAGAAATTAAAATCTTAAATATGAATCTGCAGTTTGTTATTTTATTATTCCTTTACTTATTAATTTTTGAGCTTCAATCCCTAACAAGAACTCTTCCTTCTCTTCACTTGCTTTAACCTGTTACCTTATTTAATATTATTAATATGAGCATGTGGAAGTTAACCACAAATAATTTTGCATTCCAAGCCGAGAAAAAATTAGAAATACTGTAATATCCAGAATTTTGCTTTGCAATATACCGTATTTGACGGCATATAAGACACACTTTTTTCCTAAATTTGGTCACAAAAAAGTTACCTGCGTCTTATACGTGAAGGACACAGTCTTATACGTGAAGGTAATTACATTCAATAATTGTTTATTTGGCTTTTAAGAAACGTGAAAACTAAAAGAAACCACGCTATTGAAACCTTTTTTTCCTTGTATGTGGCAGTCTAAATAAGGGTGCGTCTTATATGCCGTCAAATACGGTACTTGCAATCGTGGGGGGGAGCGCT